TTATGTTCAGGATTCATATTTTCTTAAATTTAATAACTGAAATATTATCATTTGTATATTAATAATCTCAATTACAATTTACAACCAACAGGAAAAGCACTAGGCTCCTTTTCACATATTTACTGGGCTAACCTTAACTGCTTTTGTGAAAGCGGTTTATCGAAAAGTGAATAGCTGATGGTCAAATTACACAGTATTTAAGGTTGAATAAAGACACAGGTCCATCAAGTTCAACCTTTGTGTGTGATTGTGCATGTGTATGTGTTTACATGAGTCCCTGTGTAATCTAGTTTTTAAGAGTACCTGTACCTCTGTATGTTACCATCTCTGAGCAAGGTATCTTAATGCTTTTTGGATGATTCAATACTCTTTGCTGATACCACTCCTTGTGGCAGAGAATTCCAAATACTAACCGCTCTAACTGAAAAGAAGCCCCTACGCCCTTTGTGGTTAAATCTTTTCTCCACCAATTTTAGGTGGTGGCCTCTAGTCTTTCTTATGAAGTTTACTGTAAAACATTTATTGCTGATGTTGCCATCACCACTAAACATTTTGTACATCAAAATCATGTCCCCTCTTAATCGCCTCATTTCTAGCCTGAACAAGTTTAAATTTAGCAACTTTGTCTCATAGCCTCTTAATTAGTTTAGTTGTCCTCCTCTGGACTCTCTCCAGCTCAATGACATCCTCTCTGTGGATTGGTGACCAAAACTGAACCGCATACTCAAGACGAGGCCCAACCAGTGATCTATAAAGTGGCAAAATTATTGCTTTATCTCTACAGTACATTCCTTTTTAATACAAGACAGTACTCTGCAAGCTTTGTTTGCTGCAGCCTGGCACTGCAAGCTAGTATTTGATCTGTGGTCTATTATGAACCCCAAATCTTTTTCCATTTCTGACTTCCCTAGTGGAGTTCCCATTAATGTGTATTCCGCTTGCCTATTTTTAACCCCAAAATGCATTATACATTTTTCAACTTTAAACCTCATCTGCCACTCCCCTATTTTATTCAGGTCCCCCTGTAATGTTATAATGTCTAAGCCAGAGTCTATTACCTTTCCAATTTTAATATGATCATCAAACACAGACATATGGCTATTAACACCTTCCCCAATATCATTAATAAACAGGTTAAACAGTATGGGACCTAGCACAGAACCCTTGGGCACGCCACTCTTGACCTTAGACCAATCTGAAAAATAGCCATTTATTAATACTCTCTGGACATGTTCATGTAGCCAGTTTTCTATCCATGTACAAAGTTACAGCTGAATAAGTCAGAAGAGGTACTGTATTAGTTATGACCACATTTTTAAGTGATTCTGTTGCTTAGTTTAGCTGTGTGTCAGAGAAACTGATGTAAAGATGGCCATCCAAATTTTGTATGATTCTTGCTGAATTGACCAAAATTCAAACTGTTAGTTGTTTTAATTGTAACAATCAGGGCTCACAGATGTGATCTGGAATACGGTAGAGTAGGTAGTATGGGGTCCCCCAGGGTGTGGAGTCTAAGGGCCAGCTTATGTTCACCCGAGCTCCTGATGGTGGAAATGGACTTGGCTGTGTGCTGACCCTAGGCCACAACCCTCAGGTTCACCCAACACAGCTAGCAGCAAACAAAGGTTCTGTAAAAGGCTGCAGACACAGGGACAGGGAACAAATCAAAGGTTAGGGACAGGCTGAAGACTAGGACTTCCACGGACTAGCGGAAGGTAGGAGCAGACTGAAGACAAGGATTTCCAAGCACAAGGCGAAGTACAGGGCAGACTGTAGACAAGGATTTCCAAAGTCAAAGTACAGGGCACACTGTAGGCAATTATTTCCAAGGACAATCCAGAGTTCGGTACACAGGTAAACTACAAGAAATTTAGCTTCAACAGCAAACAAGGGGCTCTAGCTTAAAAAAAAGTTGCTCGGGCACTGCGCAGTGCACTGCCTTTGTGTTTAAATAGAGTAAGCAAGAGGGAGGAACCACAGGATCTGCAACCAGCTGACTGCACTGATTGACTGAGAAGCTGCATAAGAACCAGCAGGAAAGGGCGGCCGATGCCTAAAGCTGCCACACTAGTGCAAGAGCAAGTTAGGAAGAGAGCACATGTCTGGACCGCTACAAGTAACAGCACAGCCTTGCATGCCTGCAGGAGCAGGGGTAGGAGGTCTGCACATAGTGGTGGAACTACAAGTGACAGCTCAGCTGCAACTCTGCAGATGAACTGTGACATTAATAGACTTTTTTAGAAGAAAGCGGGTGGAAAATTATCGGCCAAACAGTGCATAGCAAAACATTGTAGGCTGTGCTGGTGTGTCGACACCTGTCTTTTGAAAAGCAATTTTGTTTCTAATCAGTAGTTGGCCTTTTATGTGGTATTGCGTTTTCATCAGATCTAAATATAATATATCTAAGAACAGGCTAAAGTGTGTTAATTTATATAGATTGAGAAAAGCTTTAAAACTGTTTGCATCTCTTCGCAACTACAGTCCTCATGGACCCAAAATAAAAGTCCTATCCCCTCGGAACTGGGGACAGGAAGGTTACATGGAACATAAACTGTGATAACTTTACTATGAAAACATGGCCTTGTGTGACTAATTTAGTAGTAGACACACAAAGCCACGTTACAAAAATAGTCTGCATTGAAGTTAAAGGTTAATGGGGAATCTCAAATCTTTACCTCAAATTACATGGAACAGGATACATGATGGATTCTACCACATACTCCTACAATATGCATACATACACATACAACACATAAGGTGGTGCCGAGTCGAATAGGTTATTTATATACATTACTGTAGTTTAACACATACCTTCTGCTTCTTCAAACTTTTTAATCTCTTTTAGCACAGGTTGTATGTTTAGATATAGTCTATGACTATTACTGAGCAGCTGCAATAGGTGTTGTGATCGGAAAGGGCAACCTGTGTAGTAGACCAATTTCCGCGCTGAAGGCAAGCCATCGGGTTGAATCTCAAATTTCTTACCCTTAAAAGAATTACATCCATATTAGAAGCTCCAAAAAAGAAACAGAATTTTCACTATACAGAAATATTTTCTAATAATACAAATGTGATGTCTGATAGGAGAGCACTATATATTTTTTTTTCTCAAATATTTTTTATTTAAGGTAAGGAGCAATAGAATGACAATAGTATGACAAGTTAACGCATGTAACATTCACGTTGCATCAATTTAGATTACAGTATTACATGCACGGGTCGGATCCTGGAATTTAGGAATATCTACCATGGCGGATTACAAAATAGACAGGGTAAGCGTTTGGATATGCGCTTCTTAGTAGCTCAGGGCATATATCACCAGTGGATTTCTTGTCGTGTGAGACAAGAAACCCAGGCTATGTCTTGTGGGAGAGCTTGATGATAATGGGGTAGAAGAAATTTGCAAAGGGAGTTTGGTAGTTCAGTATGGTAGCAAGAATGGGTATTCCAGGTTCCGATGCATATGTTGGCAGTAGTACAAATGATGGTATGGGGGATCATAAGGAGAGCACTATATTTTATACGTTAATAAAGTCTTGTATACTGTACTCAACATTGTACAAAAGTAAAAATAGCTAAGAAAATGTAATATATCAAAACTTACTGCAAGTCAAGCATTATGGGGTGTATTTGTAAATAAATCACATGGCCAATCGCCCTGTGAATACTCACTCTGTGCGAATATATGCCAAAACAAACCTTCTTTAGTTATTTTGTTTAAAAGTGGCATTAATTTTTGAATGTTTTCATATAACATCACAATATGGCTACTGGATGGAGCTAAAGGAGGATAAGAAATAAGTATTTAATGTTCTATGTACATCATCGCCATCTGGTGGCCATAATGGGACAGTACATAAAAAAAACTTTGTTTTGGCATATATCCACACAGAGTGAACATTCCACACCAGTGATACGTCCACAGGCACCTTTATGTTAGGCTTATCCCAAGCCCAGTGTTCCTTTACTTTCATATAAGCCATTAATGATGGCGAAATGAGCAACACATGTTAACTATGAACTGGTTTGCGTCAGTGAGAACAAAAAAAATTAGAGATGCACCAATATTGAATTTTTAGACTGAACCCGAAAACAAAAAAATGTACCAGGCTGAAACTGAAAAGGACATTTTTCGCCAACGTTTTTACATTTATTTTTTTTACATTTATTTATTTATTTTTACTGTCAAGGGCTTTGGGGAAATATCAGGGGTCTAAACAGACCCCTGATATTTCCTTTTTAGGATAGAAAAAGAGAATGAGGACACAGAGTTCTCAATCTCTTATTCTGCAGCCCATGTTATGAATGAACAAGAAGCCTCTACACTGATTGTTCCTGTCCATTCATAAACTGTTGAAATAGTATGAGCTATTATGAATGAACAGGAAGGGATGTTGAGCAATTACTGTTCGTTCATGACTGGGGACACAGTAAGCATACTATGCCCACAGTTATTTAAAAACATTCAGCAATCAGCTGATCGCTGAGTGTTTGTACTCCACTCTCCATCCTGACTTGCTGTCACAGGAGGTGGAGCCGGGCGGTTCAGGAGGAAAGCATCCTGACAGTGGACTCCTTCCCCACACCGCTCGGCATCCTGACTCTCCGACTGTCACAGAGGCCGATCCCCGCTGCCTCTGCTGACACGGGCAGGGGAGAGCAGCGAGGAATGCAAGGGACACAGACCGACGTCCAGCAGGGAGGAGAGAAGTTAGGGAAACTTCAGTGCATCCTTAAAAAAAAAATGTTCAGATACAAATCATCAGCACGAAATTATGTTTCTTGCTTAGAAAGAAATAAATAGAAGTTATTCCTTTTTCTAAGAAAAAAAAGAAACAATTTTACTAACAAAAGTCTGTAGATCCTGGTTTTGAAGATCAAGTAGAGTAGAATTAGGTCCAAAAGCCTAGAAGAATAATCTCAATATTCATCTACTTACAAGAAATGTAAGTTTCCCCACATTAGACCAAGGGAAATCATAGAGAAGATGACGAATATGGTCAATTTCCTGTACAATAAAAAAAAAAAAAAAAAACATGCTTAACTTTCAACCCATGATATGCATACTTCCTGTCAACAAAAAATGCTAATAAAGCTCTAAAACCATACAGCACATATTTGATCAAAATTCTGCTGGTTTAATCTTTTTTTTTTAAAATTGACAATTTTTATTTTGAAAATCGCATAAATGCGTTACAAAGCTTATGACATCATTTGAGGTATCAAAAACATGAAGCGTTTTACCAGAAATAACAACCCAGACATTGTTCCATATACTTTTGTAGGTTTGTTTCTCTATATCTTATATATAACAGGTTTTTCTTATATTTCCTACCAACCTCTCTGAGAGTCGTGTTTACATCTTCTTATGGCTCCTAATATTCTGTTCTGGATTAGCTTATCTATTTAAAATCAATATCCAACTGATACCTTCTTACATTGATGTATCTGCAATTAAACTAACAACCTTAAAACATCATAAAGATATAGTAATAAGAAAAGAAAGTGTGTGTTGTCTTCTTCCAGGATAGCGCTCCTGTACCCCTGTCCCTCTGATTCCTTACTCCAGGACCTGTCCCCCCCCCCCCCCCTCCTCCTCCGCCTCTCAGTTCGTGTATTACTCATAGACATCCCACGGTCTCCACACCACTTTGTGGGCTTCTACTGTATTATTTAGCCGTGCCGTCAGGTATTCCATAACTTGCACATCTTTGATTCTGGCAAAAAGATCTAGTTTCGATGGGGGAAGCTTTCGTTTCCATTGTAGCGGTACGAGACAGCGGGCTGCCGTGAGAATATGCGTTGTCAGTTTCCTATGAGCCTTTGAGAGGTCTGGGAAGGGCAATCCTAGCAAGAAATGTATGGGTTGAGCGGAGAGAGTGTCTGTCCCACTATTTGTTCTAGGATGCGCTTGACTTCTCCCCAATAGGGTTGGATTCCTGGGAAGGTCCAAAATATGTGGAACATGGTCCCTCTTGCACCATCACGCCTCCAGCTATTTGGGGATAACTTTGGGTTGAGTGTATGAAGAAAATCCGGTGTGTGGTACCAATGGTACATTATTTTGTACTAATTTTCTCTATATACCAAACAAATTGAGGACTTTGCCATCCTCCATATCTGCTCCCATTGCTGAGGCGAGATTGTGGTCGCCAGGGCGTTTTCCCATTTCCGCATATAAAGGTGGCCTGTTTCTTCCTGCCCTGAGTGCTGGTTTAATCTTAAAGACAAGATTTCTAGTAAAAAATAGGTGTACTTTTAAGCAAATAGCCCTAGTCTGCCATGCCTTGGTCCAGTTACCAAAAAAAAAAAAAGTAAAAATGACATTACAATCCTCAGGTTCTGACTTACAGCAATATGACTGCCTAAGGCTTAACAAGTCCTGTAGCTTTGTTCACATCTGCTATGCTGTCCTCTGCGCTGGCATCTGCCATTCAAATCAATGTGTTGTCTCAAGAGCCATGTAGATTGGCCAAGAGGACCCAGTAGGGCCTTTTTTGATAAAAGTGCACCTTTCATTTAATAGATACTTGAAGCTGATGTGATTTTGCTGATCTGCTAAAGTTATGGAAAAGGAAACTTTAGTGCAGCTTAGGAAATGAAAATGTCATTTTTGCTGCATGCAAAGAGGTCTTATAACTTATGTTCTAGAAGTATAAAATGTATTACCTGGTAAATATGAATTCCGTGAAGAGTTACACCAAGAATAATAGAAGCTCTGTCATCTTTCTTGTCCTGCAAGAATAGAGATTTGCACACATTAATTTTAATGATTTAACAACATGCATATCTCAATGTAGAGCAGTGGCATATCCAGGGTATGGCACCTGCCCTGGGTGCCACTGGGGGCACTCCTTGGGTCAGTAAAAGTACGCCAACAAAACGGAGACAGATTACTTTTTTTCCTCCCCTCCTGGCTCTTAGCAATCAGGAATACTCTAGCTGACGTCACATCCAGCTCCTGGCAACCGGTAAGGTTACTGGTTACCAGGAGTTGAGCAGGGCACCTTAGGTGCATATTTCCTAGATACGCCTCTGATGTAGAGGCACCTGTTTTTCAGATATGGCTGGCAGAAACCAGAGGTGTTTACACAGCAAGACTGCCTGTTGCTCCAGTGTGAAAATAAAAATCTGAGTGAGAAGCCCAAATCTCCTGTGTGTATATCTATTTTAAATTTAGCCTGAAACTCCTGTGTGTATGTCTTGTTTACTGTAACTTCAGACATCAGTGCACTGCTACTGCTGTTAGAACACATTGTAAATGTTCTAAAATCAGAAAGTCTACTCCACAAACAGTGTTGAGACTGGGTGAGACTGCAGTATCTTTAGGTAAGAGGAAGTAGGCCTCATCTGGCCCCTGGATGCGGGCCAGAAAAAAAGGGAGAGCAGGCCATAGAAGCACAGGAAAACTGGTCCATGTGCACCTTGCTTAGAGCTGGTTACAAATTGATGAGTGCGTTTGCCATTTGTTTTGCTTGACTCATTTGGTGCAGTGACGCATGGGGGGCCTCAGCTGACGCTGTGATGTGCGGGGTCCCTTGTGCGTTCCTGTGCCTTTAAGGAGGTTGGGCTTCCTCCTGACAAACCTGCACCCAATTTTATCTTTTGCCACATGTGCTCCAAGATGGAGACTCTCATGGTTTAGAGTTAGGACCGCACTATATAGAGGTGCCTTGGCGGGGCGGTGCGGCTTTCACATTTTCTGCAGAAGATGTGTATCTAAACCTCTGTTTTTAACCTTAGCGATGAGACAGGTTTTTTTGCATGCTGGCTGGTGAGTGTGCTGGGAAACCTTTTGCTGTTATCACTGGTCCAGACACAACCTTGGGAAAATGGAACTGAGAAGAATATGGTAAGTAGGCATGCTCATTGTTCATTTAAATCAGTGGTTCTCAACCTTTGTAACCTCAGGACCCACATTTGTCCTTAGTCATTAAGTCGTGACCCAAGTTACGCCGAAAATGGAATGCACGGCATTGTGGTACTGCACGTTTCGATGCGGGCAATAGAACTGTGGGTGGGAGGTGCATTTGGGGTGCCATTCAGATGAATGGCAATGCAATGCACTTCTCACACCAAAACTCAACAACACACAGACACAATCTCACACACACATACACACTCCAAAAAGAAATTTTTTATTTTTTTAAGATCCACCCCCCAGTCTGCCTACCTTATGAGAACTGGAGTGGATCCTCAGCCTGGGGTCCAGTGTGGGCTGCTGTACTGTGACGGAGCTCCATCCATATGTGCATTGCTTGTGCAGCTCCCTTACATGCCCTGTAGAGGTGCCGGGATCCAGAATATGACATCACTTTGGTCCAGTCACCTCTACAGGGCATGCGAGGGAGCTGTATGCAATGCACATATGGATGGAGCGCACCCCACCTCAAGCTGACACTCAGGGCCAGGCAGCATATTTTGAATGGCTGCTTGGCACGAGAACTGACAGTGAATCGCTAGGGGGAGGAAGAGGAGCATCTCACCTAGAAAAGTGGAAGGCATGCGGGGACCCACTGAACACGGGGTCACGACCCACTTTTGGGTCACGACCCACCAGTTGAGAACCAAGTATTTAAATGATCTACAGAATAGTGTTTCCAAAACAATAGATATGCAGAAACAACAGAAACAATTATTTTCAGCAGCTGGTAGACGGATGTGGAACACCTGAATGAAAAAACATTTCATTCATGATCCTTATAAGTTTTACTGCAGTATACCTTTTTGTCAGGTAAAGTAATTTTCTTTTAAATATGCCATGTTCCAAAAAGCAAGTCGGGCCGTGTGCCCGACTTGTCAGCTAGCAAGAGACTGCTGCACTGTACAGCTTCACTGTACGGCAGCGGTCGATTTAAAGGGGAATCAGCGGGGGGGGGGAGGAATAACCTAGGGGGCAATTGCCCCCCTGTAGAGACGCCTATGGCCGTATTAGTCCAGTAGACAAGACGTCAATAAAAACAAAAACGTAGTATTGCTGTGTGCAATGATACCTTTCTTATTGGACTAACAAAATATATAAAAGACAAGCTTTCGAGAGTGAACCTCTCTTCTTCAGGTCAGAAGCAATACTGATCAACATGACAGTTTGTCAGTTAAGACAGGAGAAAGCTGTTAGGGGGGGAGGTGAGTGAGGTGTAATAAATGTTGGACCAGGGAGTAAAAAATGCCTCCTTATAATCAAAAGACAGAACAAATAAACATAGGATGACAAATAAACCCTAAACAGATCAGATATATACAACATACATGAATATTGTGATGTTCCGTAGATTCATAAAAAGTTCTGGTAGTGTGTCAGAAAACCAGAATCCACATAAGTCCCTGCATAGAATAGATTTTATCTCAAATGTTTTCCTTTCATTGGAGTTTTTAAAATTCCCTTTCAGTACTTTTGAGGTTGTGGATGGAGTGATCCTTCTATGAGAAGTGATGTCCTACTGGAGTGCAATATTCATTCTCTTTGTGGTTCTTGATCGAGCTCCTGTGTAGGTTCATCCTGAGATGCAGCTTAAGGCCAGTTTCCCCAATGTAACAACCTTTGTCACATGCTGAACACTGTATCATGTACACCACGTTAGCAGATGTGCATGAGTATGACCCCTTAATAGGGTACTCTTTGTTATTGTGACTCGCTGTATTTCTGTCACGTATATGTTGGCAAAGGGGGTTCTTCACGGTACGAGCGGTTAGGGTCTGGAACTCACTGCCATCGGCAGTGATTTCAGCCAGGAGTGTGGAATTGTTCAAGAAACTCTTGGATGATTTCCTGAGGGACCGTAATATACAGGGGTACAAGTACTCCTAAGAAAGAGATGATGCGCGGACCTATATGGGTTGGACTTGATGGACTCGTCTTGATTCAACCCCAAATACTATGTAACTATGTAAAGTTTGCAGCGGGGTTTATTGCATTGTACTGTGCCGTTCTGTGTAAGTGCCTGTTCTGGGGTCAGCTTACTGCGTACCAATCTTCTTCTCAGGTTCAGTGGCTGCTTGAAAGCCAGTATTTGGGGCTGAGGGAATATTTCTTTAAGTATGGGGTCTTCTGAGAGTACTGTCTGTAGGTCTTTGATTATTTTGCGTATTACCTCTAGAGTGGGGTTGTAGGTAACTACAGGAGGGGTCCTGGTTGGGTTTTTCTTCTCCTTGTACTGTAGGAGTCTTTCCCGTGGTGTTCTTAGGGCAGATTTCATTTTTTTAGAAATAGTCTTTTCCCTATAGCCCTTTCGCCAAAATGCATCAGCCAGTGTGCTCAGGTGTTTGCCTCTGTCCTCAGTGTCAGAGCAAATGCGGTGGTATCGGATAGCTTGGCTGTAGATGACACCCTGTTTAGTGTGATTAGGATGGAAGCTGGAACTATGGAGGTAGCTGTACCTGTCTGTGGGTTGTCTGTGGGTTTTCTGTACACAGAAGAACGGAGTGAGCCATTGCTGACCGTTATGGCACAATCCAGAAAAAACACACTGTGTACTGAGAAATTAATTTTGAGTTTGATGGATGGATGGAATGAATTGAATGATTCATGGAAGTTTAAAAGACTTTCTTCTCCTTCTGTCCATATTACGAAAATATCATCAATATAACGATAATATTTGAATGGTTTGTGAGGGTGAGTGGCTAGGAATCTGTATTCTAGGTCAGCCGTGAATAGATAGCCGTCCCAGTCATTTGTAAATATATGCTGTCATTGAAATTTAAGTAGTTGTGTGTCAGTATAAATTCAATGAGTTTGGTAATGGTCTCACTCTCATAATTATGTCTGACATTATGGGAGGAAAGGAATTTGGTGCAGGCATCAATACCATCTTTATGGGGGATGTTAATGTGCAAAGATACCACATCCATGGTGACAAGTATAGTATTAGCAGGTAGGTTAGTGATTTGGCTCAGTTTGTTCAGAAAATCTGTGGTGTCTTGTATAAAACTCCCAGTGTTTATAACCAGAGGCTTCAGAATGTTTTCAATTAAGCCAGATATTTGTTCTGAAATTATTTCCATACCTGTAATTGTTTCCATACCTGTAATAATGGGTCATCCTGGGTTTCCTGGCTTGTGGATTTTGGGCAGCATGTAGAAGGTCCCCATGTTAGGATTGGAAGGTAGCAGATTAAGTAATCCTTGCTGTAAGTGTTTTGGGAAGGATTTGATAAGTTTAATAAGTTCGTCTGTATATTACCTGGTGGGGCCCTGGTCCAGTTGTTTGTAGTAGTTTTTATCAGACAATTGTCGGTTTCCTTCTGCAATGTAGTCCTGGGTGTTCATGATAACTATTGATCCGCCCTGGTCAGCTGGTTTGATGATTTCTTTATCATTCATTAAGTTATGTAAGGCTTTTCTTTCTGCAGGTAGGAGGTTGTCTGTAGTTTTTTCTGTTGTGTGGTAATAAGGGATGCTACACTCGTGCAGAAGTTTTCAATGTAATTGTACAATTTGATGTTACGTCCTGTTGCAGGTGTAAAGCCTTCATTCTTTTTTTTCTGCTGTCCAGGCTGAATGTGGTGTTATCTTTGTCAAAGAGAAATTCCTTAAGCCTCAGTCTTCTAAAGAATTCTTCCAAGTCTGAGTATAATTGTATGTGGTCCAGTTTGGTGCTTGGACAAAATGTAAGCCCCTTGGATAGGACTGCTGTTTCCTGTACTGTGAGACGATTTGAGAGGTTAACAATCTCAGTATTGTCTGTGCAGCTTTCACGGTGGTTAACCATTTCAGCTTGGATAGGGACATAGGTAGTT